TGATCATCATCATCATCTTTCTCAACGACGAGTCCTCGAAGCAAAGAACGTAAGCAGGAGAAGAAAGCCATGGCCAACAAGGAGATGAAGGACAAGATCGATAATCTCGATATTCAAGTCCGTAGTATGAGCGAGGCTATGAATACCCTAGGCGAGGGTCTCGATACCACAAAGGCGACCGTTCGTGAATTGATGGAGATCATGAACCGAAGGTTTGATGAGATGGCACGCAACATGGTGGCGCACCAATCACCAACCCGACGGCCCAATCGCGAGCGGTCCGATCATGAGGGACGCCGCGAACGCGAGCATGATGATAACCAAGCGAGGCGGTACGGGGATCGGGATCTCGAACGACGCCACGACCGTGAGCGACACGAAGAGGAACGGCGACATGATGAGCGCGAGCAAGACGTGGACTGCGAGCGACGCCGCGAGGAGTACGAGCGAGAAGACGACTTCGACCGACGGTCCCAGGCGTCTAACTATTGTAACCACCCGAAGCCCGAGAAGCCGAGGATCACACTGTCCACGTTCAACGGCAACGATCCCGAGGCTTGGCTCAACCGAGCCGTTCAATACTTTGATCTCAACGAGACCGAAGGACGTGATCGGGTAAGATACACTGCCTATTACTTAGATGGAGAAGCCAACGTGTGGTGGCAGTGGCTTACTAGCATATACCGAAGCCGACAGCGAGTTATCCGATGGAACGATTTTGAACGCGAGTTACTCACGCGCTTCGGCTCATCCGACTACCACAATTACCACGAGGCGCTATCCCGCATACGACAGACCGGCAGCTTGCGCGACTATCTTAAGGAGTTCGAGCGATTGGCATGTCGCGTACGAGGCTGGCCCGAGACTGTGTTGGTTGGGACCTTTATTGGTGGGCTGAAGTATGATCTAGCCGCGGAGGTTCGCTTAGAGCAACCAGAATCAATGCATGCGGCTATGGAAGTGGCCCGACGCCGAAAAGATCATCTTGTGGCGACTCGAAGGGGACGGGCAGATGCACGCTACCCCGAGACACGACGCACACAACCGGATGCAAGCGATATGGTTCCAAGCGGCCGACCACCTGACAACTCTCGACCGACTAATAGCACACGACCACCAGTCAAGCACTTGACGCTTGAGGAGATAAAGCACCGACGGGAGAAAGGGCTATGTTTTAAATGCGAAGAAAGATTTACGCCTAGTCATCAATGCAAGCAGGCTTTTGTCATCCACGTTATAGACCCGAATGAGGAAGAGCCCGAGATCGAGAATGATTGGGAGCAAGAAGTCGAGATTGGGGTTCCCGAAGAGGAGGCCGAAATCTCGATGCATGCGATGGCTGGTACAGGAGGACCGACGACAATGCAGCTGCCAGCATTGGTCAAGGACCGCCGTGTAGTCGTGCTAGTAGACAACGGATCATCGAACAACTTCATCAACGCCGATCTATCTCGAAAGTTGAAGTTGCCAACGACGAAGGTCGAACCATTTGAGCTCCGAGTAGCCAATGGAGAACAGCTAAAGTGCTCGGAGGCTTACCGTGCGATACCGATCAAATTTCAAGGAGTCACCATCAAAGCCGATCTCTATGCGTTACCCTTGGTTGGACCGGACGTTGTGTTAGGAGTACAATGGCTCGGAGGTTTAGGAAAGGTGACCACCGACTACCGGATGGGAGTCATGGAGTTTGACTCAAGAGAGCACCGGGCCACGTTAAAAGCAAGCAAAGATAGTAGAGCCAAGGAGTTTGGTCTCAAGAGTATTGAGCGGGTCTGGCATGGGGGCAGTCAGATTTTTACCCTCGAGGAAGTAGGCGCATACGCGAGCATGGTCGAGCATGTCTCGACGGAATATGATGGCCCACCTATCTTCGACGTGTACCCCGAGGATGAACTCATGGACGACGAAGTAGTCGTGGAAGCTGAGATCAAGGAAACCGAGGTCGAAGGTGAGGTGCCCGAGATTTGGACGATCGAGCAGCAGCAATTCAAGAAACGTGAGTTGGTTAGAGCATCCAACCACGTACTAGGCGAGTCCGACAAAGAAGAAGGCCGAGTCGACGGGAGGTGTAAGGAGCCTATCCTTATGTTTGAATTCTCAAAATATTTTAAGGACCCAAAGGTCGACGAGTACATAAAGGAGTCAAAGGATTATGAAGGACCGCCTATCTTCGATGTATATCCCGATGAGTACTTTGTCGAGGTTGAAGGCATTTGGGTCGAGTCCAAAGAAGATGTTGTGGTCGAGGTTATGACGCCCCAATTAATGGTCGATGACAAGTCCTTGAGGACAAGGACATTCTTAAAGGGGGCGGGAATGATGCGGAAGTGGGTTTTGACCCCCGATGATGAGAAAGGCCGAGGG